GAGGATCCCACATGCCGCGGAGCGGCTGGGCCCGTGAGCCATGGCCGCTGGGCCTGCGTGTCCGGAAGCCTGTGCTCCACAGCGGGAGAGGCCCCAGCAGTGAGAGGCCCGCGTACCGCAAAAAAAAAAAAAAAAAAAGAAAGAAAGAAAAAAACCCAAGTTTGGAGCTTCAAGTAAAATTTACCTAATAATTAGTATAACATATTAGATCATGTATAACAATACTCTATTACTGTCCATGACCATGACAGAAACAACATTGGTAACAAACCAACTTCAATCACTTCAAACCAACACGTGGTTCATTCCACCAGATTCCTCCTCAATAAAGTTTAACTACTGTACAGCAGATAACATAGTAAAACACTGTGCTCAGCAACTACTCAAGAAACGTTGATCATAAAAGGATTTCCTTCATAGTTCCCAAATTCTGTATCTATTATTTCCTTTACATCCAAAAATATATCACCACTCGAAAATGGATAAGTGTAATATACAAAACCCAAATCTTGACAGCGTCAAGAAGAATAGCAAGTCGATTCCTAAAAAGTCTAATTATGCATGCTTACAAAAACCTTAAAAGTAAACTGAGACAAGATTACAGGACAACACTGCCAATGAACCCCTCACTCTGTACATTAACAAAGCGTTTAGAACAGGAAGATACTGTTAATAATTAAAACTTGTAGACTAATTAAAAGGCTTCATTGAAAAGACAGTAAGGAAAAACTGAGGCCAACGTGACATAGTCAAGGACGAGTCATCTGGGACTCAAAAAGACCAAAACTACTTCTTCAGCACAAGCAAAAGCCAAGCGCTAACAGTGCAATAAGAGGAAGTGAGACGCAAACCGTCTAGGAAGAGGGAGTTAAGCAAATGCCTGACATCCAGTTAAAAACGACTGTAACCCCCGGAAATAGGATCCCGGGAAGCTTGGCGGGCACTCCAAGGTTTGGCTCTAAGCTGCAGGACCCGGACACCTCTCCTTCCACCCCTCCCCTCCATCATGGGGGCGGGGGGGGGTGTGTGTGGGAGGAGTGCCCAGAGAGCCCGTCCCCCCTCGCCGGACGAAGAGCCGGGTGGGTGCAAGGGGAGGTGGCACGCGGCCGAGGGAGGAGAGAGCCGGCCCAGGTGACTGGAGCTAGAGGCGGAGACACAGTATGGGAAGGGGGCCGCCATACGACATGGAAGATGGAGCCACCCACCCCCACCCCCCGGCCCGTACGTAACGAAGACTGGGAGGACTGAGAGATAAAAGGTGATGAGAGAAATGAAAGGCGCCCCTCCCCAAGACAGGGGTGGGCACACCCTTGCCCCCCAATCCGGGCGGAAGAGTTACTCTTGGAAAGCTTCTTTTGCGGACTATAGGAAGAACGTGGAGGCCCCGCCCCTGAGCCAAGAATCTGGAGGATGAAAAGTACTGTCAGGCCCCGGACCAAGCCTCCCGGGAGGCCCGGCCCGCCCCCTCCCAGCCAGCGGCCCAGGCAGGTGCCGCCCCTCCCCCAGCCCGGCGCCCACTCTCCCGCCCGACCATGCACCCTGTCTCCTCGCGCCCCTGCCACAGAGCCGTCTCCCTCCCTTCCCCACTCACCTTCCCGGGCGGCTCCGCCGCTCCCCGCTGACCCCGCCAGCCGCCACAGCTCACACACGCCGCTTCAGGTCCCGCACTCTCTCCCCCTCACTCACACACAACGCGACCGCGACTCCGGAGCGGCCCACATATTATGCGTCACTCGTTCGCTACGCACGCTGCGCGCGCGCGCGCGCGCGCATCACCCGACTGGGCGCGAGGCTTGCTGGCAGGAGGCGGGAGGAGAACGCTAGGGCGAGCGGAGGAATATCTACGAGCGCCGAAGTCGCGTGGAAAATGAAGTTCCGCCTCTAGGGGCGGAGCCCACCAAGTCTTGATTGGCGCGTGAGCAGTTTTGCCCCGCGCGTTGACTTCTGGGGTTTGTAGTTTTTAGTGTAAACGAGAACTGCTACGTACTCATTGGCTGCTCAGGAAGGCGGAAGCGAAAAGCGAGGGACGCGATTCTGCCAGCCCAAAGCTAGAACGGCTGGATACCTTCCCAGTACTTTATTCGGCCCTGTGTGACAGGGAAGAGCCGTTGTTTTATTCTCCCATTGGCCCCGTTATACCTAGAACCTACCAGGATCTAAGAAAATATTTCCCGAAGTGTATGAGAAATCACATCAGTCATTAAGCAGAAGGCTCTGGTCTTCCTGTTCAAGACCTAGCCTGTAGGATCAATAAATATTTATCCTAGGTATTACATGTGAGGCAGAGAAAAGGAAAAAATTAAAAGGACATAGATTAAGGCAGAGCTGACCTCAGAGGTAATCTAATTCCTTTATTTTGCAGCTGGGAAAAGTGAGACCCGGAGAGAGTGACTTGACTCACATCACACAACCAATTAGCAGCAGAACCAGAACGACTCCTGACTCTGACTTGGGGATCCCTTTTTGGAGACGTGAAAGGTAAACTCCACAACTGAGCAGAATCTCTCCCTGACAAGATCCTATCGAGCCTTTATCTCTGGGAGTCCTGAGCAAGTTTCTGTGCATTTTTACGGAGTCCTCACAGTCAGCACTTTCACATGGGGAACATGGGACACAGCAAGCCGTCTGCCATGCTCAGGTTCCATAGCTAGATTAAGAAGTTAGCCAGAGCCTGGGTGCTGGGTCTCTTGATTCTGTTCCCCACCGGACCCCATTCCCCGCTTTCCAGAAAAGAGACTTCCCTCCTCTTAAGTATATAACTTGAAACAGGTGATACTCAGGCACAAAATTCTAGAATGTTGGGTGGCAGTGTGGCAGATGTGCCACCTCTCTGCAACGCTTTCACCTGCCACAATACATAGCTCTCTTCTCTGTGCTTCTGGGACTTTGCCTATAATGGCCACTACCATTACCTCTGACTTTATATAGCTCTGAGCCAAGTGTTTTAACCACACTTTTTCATATAACCCTCACTACCACCCCACAGGGTAGGTACAGTTTGCCGCCTACACAGATGAGAAATCTGAGCCCAGATTGGTGGCCCAAGGAATGGGGCCCAGGTTCATGGGTCCACAGGGCTGGACTGATAGATAACTTTCCTACATCGGTGCTACAGCAATCCTTCACCTGACTTTCCTGCCATGCCTCCCTGGGTCATGAACCCAAAATGCATGAGAATGGAGCACTCAAGCCTTAGATAGCCTCCCTTTTTCCATGATCTAGCCAGTATGGTGGTGACTTCCCCACTGACTGAGGTCCTGAAATGCAAATCCCTTGCGGGAACCCAGGTTCCAGCTTGCCTCCCCCGGCACAGCCTCAGCCTGCCACCAGATGGCACTGCTCCCCTTCAGAAAATCAGCCTGGGGCCCTGGGTAAATGATGGGAATAAGGGGCATGCCAGAGGGCCTTTGGAGAAGCCAGGGCCCAGGAGGCTAGGGAAGCAAAACAGGAGCTATATAAGACCTGTCTAGCAACTGCTTCCTCCATAATCTCTGTTCTATAATGCCTGTGCCCCCCATACCTCTGCCAAAAGCCCCCCCACATACCTGCAGCTGCAGACCTGCAGGCACTTCCAGACTCCCGCTCTGGGAAGGGGAAAAGACTGCACTCAGATTTTCTGGGCTGCAGACACATTTCAAGCACACTCACTGTCACATTTCGTAGGCCAAGGTAACGTGTGCCAGAGACACAAGCATGCACTCCCATGCACTGGCACCAGTCCTCACAGCCAACACTTTCACATCTAAGTACGTGCAAGTACAAAGCTACAGATAAATCAGGCCCCCACACCCATCTTGACCTGGCACATCACACCTGAATCATTGGATAAAGAGATTCCTTGGCCTCTTTAGAAGAACATTTCTGGACTTTGTCTCCCTCTGCTCTGCGTGTGCCCATCTCCCCTTATGGTATGCCTCAAAAAGCAGCAGCCACCATCCAAAAGGTCAAGAAGTCATGCTTGCAGGGCTGCCCAGTGGCAAAGGGAGAGCAAGAGCAGCCCAGCCCTGGTCCCAGCACGAAGGGCTACAGACTTAGGTATGCTCCAACCTGCCCTCATCCCCACACATGCCCATGCACTGGGGTAGGAAAATCAATAGCACCACGTCCTCTGAGCTTCAGGATGCTCCTCCTCTTTCCCCTATCCTCTGTCTCCCCCATCTCCCCCTCTTCCCTTTTCCACCACCCTTTCTTTCCCTTCACTTACTTCCAGGTTCACCGGACCCAGGTGCTCCCATTAGCCCTTCGCCACCCTGGTGCCACCACAACTCCTGTGCCTCCTCCTGTCCCACATCTATTCCCACTCTGTTTGCTGAGCAAGACTGCTACTGCAAGTGTCCGGGAGTCACAGGAGCCACCGAGGAGAGGCTCGGGGCTTCCAGGCTCTGGGGACCCCAACCTGGACAAAAAAGGGAATTCAGTCATTCACTTGGTGCCCTCCCCCTTCCTGGGAGCCCCTACAGCCTCCTAGAAAGATGGAACACTACCCCTGTTGCCCAAGAGGTGTGCAAAGCAACCACCCCGTATGACTGCATCCACATCCACCATTCTCATTTCACAGAGTGAGAAACTGAGGCTCCACCTCGTCCAGTGGCCACAGATGCTGCAGTCTCCAGAAGTCAGTACCCTCTCCTGCTCCCACAGGCACAAGTTCATAGAGGGGCCTAAGACTCAGGTGAGAAATGAAGCAGCGACCCCCCAGCCCCGCCCCAATTCCCACGTACCAGGATCCCAGCCAGAGTGAGGAGCCCCCAGAAGAGCCCCATGCAATACTGAGGACATACTTATATATTTTAAATTATTCTTTATCTGAAATTAAAATTGAACCGGACATTCTATATATTATCTAGCAGCCCCACCTCAGAACCACTGCTCAGCCACAGACCCCAAGGACTCCCCTTGATGGCCCCCATGGCCTCACTTAAATCACCTGCAAAATAGTTAGAAGTAAATCAGAACAGCTGCCTCCCAATGGGTCTCATTAAAGATTAGACGGGCCAAGCAGTCAAGGTTGCCTTATCCGAAAGCTGATCTGGGTAATATCAGGCTCAAAGTCCTCCCTTCTCCCCGTTCTCTCTTTAACCCTATCACCGATGGTGACAGATGAGAAAATAGTTTCTTTGCCTCTTTATTGGGAAGAGTTTGCAGAAGGAGATAGGTCAGCAGTTGAGTCTAGCTTTGGAGGTGGACAGATCTGCATCCTAACACTAGTGCTCCCGTAGTTGGCCTAATTACTTCACCTCTCGAGCTTCAGTTTCTCCAGCTGGAAAATGGGAATAATACCTCCTTTCTAGAATTGTTATGAGGACTAAGTGGAACCATGCCTGTAAAGTGCTTAGCTTGGGGTCTGGCACACAGGAGGTGCTAGCTAAGTGGTGGCTATTTCTATTGTGATTACTCTTGGTCTGTGGCTGACCCTATTGCTGTTCTTCAGGACTACCTCAGCCCTGGCTGATTTCTCTTTGCCCCCGATACTACTGCCTGCTGGAAGAGCTCAAGCTTTCCTCATCAAAATGAGAAATGAGCTCCTTACCAGAAAAATCCTGGGGCACATTTTCAGACACACTGGGAAGTAGTGGAGTAACCACTCTTAGGGATCACTGTCTACTCTCTGTCCCAGCACAGAACTAAAAACTGAGTGGGTCAGAGGGTGGATTTTTTTTTTAACATCTTTATTGGCGTATAATTTCTTTACAATGGTGTGTTAATTTCTGCTTTATAACAAAGTGAATCAGCTATACATATACATATATCCCCATATCAGAGGGTGGATTTAAGAGGATCTGCTCCTAGGCCTCCTCATGCCTGAAAAGGCTGCCGTCAATCAAGGGTGAGGGCAGTCAAGGCCAAGGAGCTCCTTAGATGTGAATTCAGACATGTCACCCTCCCCAAACCAGCCTGTCGACCCTGCCTCCCTGCTGAGATGAAGCCTGCATCTGGAACCCTGCCCAGAGTGCATTCACTGTTTTCCCTGGGGTCCTCTGGCAGGATGGCGATGTCACAATCAAAGTAGAGTCCAGAGAGGATGGCCAGAGATGGTGTCCCCTGGGCCACCCTCACAATGGACCCGCCCAGCGCAAACGGGCTGGAGCATGAAAAGGCCCAAATTCTGCCCTCCATCTACTCCCAGGACCTGTCAGATCCCCGAGCCTGGCTGCCAGTTATCATCCTTGCTGACTCCTGGGGCCCTGCTCTTCCCAGAGGCTATGCTCCAGGTAAGAGTTGGAGGTTGGGGAACAGGTACAGGGGAGGTAAGGAACCTCTTTTGCCTCAGGTTTTTAGAATTGTAAATCCTTCCTGGAAGAAACAACAGTGGAGTCAGCATTGGAGAGAGAAGCCCTTGGATTTTGACAATGCCTGTTTGTACGCACAAGACTTTTCTACAGGACTCAGGAATCTCTGGCCTGACCCACCTGAAGGTACTCTGGGGACTGCTGGAGTAGACCCTGAGGAAGACTCAGGTCAGATAAAGCTTCCCACCCTATCAGTTCTTTCACTTTGAAAGGCCTGGAGCAGAATGACTTTGATGGAAGGAAGCTGATCTGACCGTCAATTCAGATGTCAGAGATCCACCACCACCACCTGAAGTAATCACCTACTGCCCCACCCCCAAACCTGGCCACGTTGGACCTGGACCCCAAAGAGATATTGCCAGATATAGCCAGGAGTATCCAGTTAGGCCTGGGAGCCGAAGTTATCAAGGGGAGGTGTTTCTAGGTGCAG